GCCGCGACAGGCAGCCGCGTCTGAGAACTCGAGAGACGGTTCCCGGCGCGGCTCTTCCTGTGGCAGGCCTCCCCCCGCAAGCACCACGCGGGCAGGAACCCGAAAGGGGGGAAAAAGCAAGGCGGCGGCTTCTCGGGCCGCCTGAGGTCGGGCAGCGGCCGGCGCTGACGCCGGGAAGGTTAGTGGGGCTTTGTCGCGTTCCCATTCGGGCGAATGAGCGCCGCCGCCGCCGCGGCTCCTGTTGGAGTTTCAGCGTCCCCAGACGCCCGTCCGTGGCCGTTCGCGTGTCTTTAATCGTCCCGGTCTCGGCGGCCTCGAAGGGAGACGCTGGCGAGCTACGGGGAGGCAAACCGCGGGCTTCGAGAAAGGTTCCCCGGGGGTTTCCCTCGTTGGCCCTCTTGAGGCTTGCTTTGTGCTTTTTCCCTTAGTAAAGCGTGGGAGGCAGGAAGGTTAATTATTTTCATCCCGGGCCCCTCTCCCTCTCTCGCAGCTCCTCAGAAAACTGCCTTTTGCCCTTCGGGAAACGGCACCCTATATTGAAATTCATGATATGACACTCCTATTGCTGCTACTATTATTATTACTGGAGCTTCTGAAGAAGTAGCCCTCTTCGTTTGTCTCACCATATTGGCAAAATTAAAGAAAAGAAAGGGGAGGAGGATATAAAAATATTTGGGGGCTTTAAAGACTATTTCTGTTTTTCCTCTTTTTTTTTTTCTTTTTCTTTAAGCCCGACCTCAGCTGACACATATTGGCAAAATTAAAGAAAAGAAAGGGGGAGGAGGATATAAAAAAATATTTGGGGCTTTAAATACTATTTCTGCAAAGGCAGTGGAGCTGGGGGATTGCTTTTATCCCTTTCCTCCTCTTCCTGTGCCGCACAGAAAGGGGGGAAAGCCCGACCCTAGCCGTCCCCCAGCCCCAGGGGTGGATTTCGTTGAATATCCTGATTCGTTTTCATATTCGTCCCCATGTCTGGTTGTGTTGTCTTCCTGTAGACTTGCATAACCTGTCCACCTCTTTGTAGGCAGATCAGCCCTAACCTTAATGGCTAGTGGTGAAGAATCAGGAGACCTGGCATCCTAAAGCATTTGGATTGCCATAGATGTCGTCCTTCTGCTACAGGATTAAACTTGACACTAGTGACATGCTATATTAGTAGCTGAATAAACAAAGATGTATTTGTACTCAAAATAAAAAAATGAAGACAGGATAAACCACCACATGGTTTCTGGGGATCTAGTATCAAGTCAGGATGGCCAAGTGGTCTAAGGTGTACCTTCCCTGTGCTGGGCATTCTGGTCTCCAAGTCTTGGTGTGGGTTCAAATCTTACTTTTGACACATCTGATTCCCAGTGTGGTGTAGTGGACACGGTGATGGACTAGGACTCTGAATCTCCACTCATTCATGGAGACTTACTGGGACAGTGGAACTGGTAAAACCACTCCTTAAACATCTCACTTATCTTCCCTATAAAGTCTATCCTTCCGAGGTCAGTAAAATGAGTACCCAGCTTGCTGGGGGGGGCAATGTGTAGCCTGTATGATTAAATTGTAAACCGCCCGGAGAGTGCTTGTAGCGCTATGGGGCGGTATATAAGTCCAAAAAAAAATATGCATGTAGTTTCTTAACTATTCCACAGCTAAGCATGAAATCAGAACACAGAAAAGTTTTGAACTGCAATTCCCAGAATCTCCATGCTATCTGGAGGATTCTGGGTTTTGTTCTCCAAAAAAAGTAGTTTTTCCAAGCTATACATGAAATAGGAGTGCCGATTATGGGTGAAGCTACTGTATCTTATTTAAGGACAGACTATGTATACTCCAGCTTTGTTTAGTATTCCGCTGCCCAATGTTTCATGGAAAGGTCTTTCACAACTTTTGCTGTTTGATGCTTTATAACTGGATATGCTTAAGACAGACATTGAGAACTAAATATCACATGAAAGTGATATGCTGTACAACTGAGGTAGGGTCACCCAACAAATATCCACCTATCTTCAAAAATTATACTAAAAAGTCAGTATGTCAGTATTTTGGACTCCAGATCCCAGAATTCTTCAAGAATTCCAAGGGCAGAATTCTAAGGATTTGAGCCCACAAACATACACCTGTAGATACATACATTTTGCAGACCTACCTTTGAGGTTACATCGGATGCTTTAGCCCACTGGTTCTTAACCTTGGGTTACTCGGGAGTTTTGGACTGCAACTCCCAGAAGCCTTCACCACCAACTGTGCTGGCTGGGGGTTCTGGGGGTTGCAGTTCTCACCCAACAAATATCCACCTATCTTCAAAAGTCAGTATGTCAGTATTTTGGACTCCAGATCCCAGAATTCTTCAAGAATTCCCAGGGCAAAATTCTAAGGGTTTGAGCCCACAAACATACACCTGTAGACACATACGTTTTGCAGACCTACCTTTGAGGCTACATTGGATGCTTTGGCCTATGCAAATCTGCCTTGGTGCTTCCTGGAAGTTGTCATTCTTTGGGAGTAATCCTATAGAACGTAATAGGCAGTGAGACTGTGACTCCCAGGAAGCACTGCAAAACTTTTCTTTTTCCAAACATTAACAGCAACAAGCTTAGGCCGGAGTGGCCAGTGCAGCCTTGAGGGTGCACTTGCTTTCTAAAAAGTGCAATGAGACAATTGAGAAATATTTGTCCTGATAGCCTAAGGGTTAATTCATCCTGCACTCCATCCTGTTCTCACATACACACACGATGTCCCAAATAATTATCTTCATCAGCCTTAAAGAAGAAGAATCGTAGAGAGGAGTTATTGAGAAAATGGGGAGGGGGATACTTAAGTTGCATGGCCAGTACTTTTATGAGCCGTATTTCTCAGAACCATCCAGGCCATAGCCTGTCCACCTCTGGCTAGTTTACTTTTGTTATTAGAAGTCTGTGAAGTGTACAGAAAGTCACATGTATTTTCAGGCCTAGCTTGTTAGAAAAGTGCTCCCTTTTGTAGCATATAAATTGCTGTCTTTCAGAAGATCTTGCTGTAAAAACAAATGTTATGTAGTGAATACTGAAAACAAAATTAATAAATTTTCCACACACATACATAAATATATACCGCTTACAGAAGAAGACATTCAGCAAGACGATTGTGGGAGGGAGAAGAGCTATTTCCATAAATTTTTGAATAATACAATGACTATGAATACTGAAAACAAAATTAATAAATTTTACACACACACACATACATAAATATATACCGCTTAAAGAAGAAGACATTCAGCAAGACGATTGGGGGAGGGAGAAGAGCTATTTCCATACATTTTTGAATAATACAATGATTTTGTAACTGTGCAGTCCCTGCTAAGATTACGTATTTTAAGTGGTCAGGATCTAATGGTATATTTTCATATTGGATGACAGCAGAATTTAGAATTTTCCTTTCCCTTTTCTGCTACAGCTGTCCAGGCTGCCAAAAACTGCTCTCCAGAGCAGGTGCTTAGGGTGCAAACGGATGGAAGGGGTGCCCTGTGCACCCTAAAAAATTGTGGTAGAAGCAGTTGGACCTATTGGGATCAAATAGTTGGATGCTGGCCGGCGAATTCAATAAAATTTTGTGTCCAGGTTCTCTTCTATCTTTTGATTATCTTAATCACACAGACACACACACTTGTATCTTAAATAAATGGACCTCAGCTTACTACCCTGTTCCAAACCTCTTTAAAATTAGATAATATGTTTTAAGTAGATGATTTGCTTGTTTTTAAAGGTGGAATGAACCACAAAATTGGGAGGAAAATTTCTTTGAATCACTTTGAGAGACAATTTTTATTGTTCTTTCCAGAAACTGTTTCTTTTCTTCCAGTATGATATGTTGTGGCACCCCCTGACTGCTTGCATTACATGCAGGAATTTTAAATGCAAAACTTAATTCAGCTAAAGAAACAAAGGTTTGTTCTCACTACAAAGAACTAATACATGCTACACCTTTGTCACATTTGTATTTTAAGAGGTAAGGAAAAGAGGAAGGTTTGAATATCTCAGCTGCTTCCATAGGAATAAAACAGAAGTAGAAATTTCAGCACCCCTTAACTTATAATTCTTTGTTGGTCGATCCAGTGAAAGGGTAGACATTCATCTTGAAGTGGTGGCACGTTCCAATCTTTGTCCATGAGCCACTTGTGGTTTTTTGTAAGGAACTCTAATTTACATTTAAAATAGGTGAAGGGATCCCATTTGGTGCTACACTGAGAGCTGCTTGATAGAGACTGGGTGTCCTGCAGTCTCAAAAGAATTATGGTAGCTACATGATGGTAGCTACATGATGTTCAGCATTTGATGCTGTGACGCGTCAGAGACACCATTCATGTACTGAAAACAAAGTCAGCCACAAGACAAAACTTATCACAACCACAATCTTGTGCAACTTTTTGAATTTTATTTTATTTTATTTTGGTCACAAATAATTGATCTGGGGCTGTACAGGTTACCTTGAGGCCTTGCAAATGGTTGGTGCTGCTTTTGGACAAGATAATAAATTATTTCTTTATTTATTCATCTATCTATTTAAAATATTTTACCCTACCTTTCTCCTTTACGAGGACCCAAAATGGCTTACATCATTAAAAGTCAATATTTAATAGTTAAAAACAGTATATATACAAATATTTTTTAAAAATAAAATATCACACTAAAAATGGAAAACAAAATCAACAGCAAAAACAGATTCAAAGTAACAAGGCTTTTGGAATGTTCTTAAAGAATTTCTGATTGATACCATTGTCTCACTATGGGAAAAGTTTTTATCCCCAGATGAAAAAGTTATACAAGACAGATAGCCCCATAGATTTGAGTGGGCCATATCTATCTATCTATCTATCTATCTATCTATCTATCTATCTATCTATCTATCTATCTATCTATCTATCTATCTATCTATCTATCTATCTATCTATCTATCTATCTATCTATCTATC